GTTGCCAGGAAGCCACGTTTTATACTGTGTTTCAAACATTTTTAAAAAAACTTTCTTAGGCTGTGTGTGGACCCATGTTGGGTGCTATTTGTAGGCTGAATTTTCTGTCCCACTTGCCAGCTCCCAAACAACCACATGGAGATTTCTTATTAATTATAAAAGCTCGGCCAATAGCTTAGGCCTGTTATTAACTAGCTCTTACAGCTTAAATTAACCTATATTTATCAATCTACATATTGCCACATAACTCATGGCATTTACCTGTTCTATTGTGTGTCTTATTCCCTCTTCATCTCACTGGCAACTCTGCCCTTCTTCCCAGAGTTCTTTCTGTACCCGCCTAACCTCTTCGTAGCTATTAGTCATTTAGCTCTTTATTAAACCATTGAGAGTAACACATCTTCACGGTATACAGAAAGATTGTTCCACACCATAGGGTTGTGTTCATCATTCTTGTTTTTGTTTTTGTTTTTAAAGATTTATTTATTTATTTATTATGTATACAGCATGTATGCCTGCATGCCAGAAGAGGGCACCAGATCTCATTACAGATGGTTGTGAGTCACCATGTGGTTGCTGGGAATTGAACTCAGGACCTCTGGAAGAGCAGTCAGTGCTCTTAACCTCTGAGCCATCTCTCCAGCCCTCATTCTTGTTTTTAAGAGCTTAAATTATATAAAATAATGTTTCCCTAGTATAATCAGTTCTCAAGTTAAAATTTTTCATATTGGGACACTAGGGATATATCTCAGTTAAAAAAGTACTTGTGTGGTATATATGAAGGCCTGGGTTTGATCCTCAGCACTATATTAACAGCAAGATGGTATACGTCTGCAAATCACAGCACTTGGGAGGTGGAAGCAGGAGGTTAATGAGGTTAAGGTCATTTTGGCTGCATGAGACCCTGTCTCTAAACAAACAAAATTTCTTGCATATCTTCTTAGAATATATGAAGAAAAATTGCAGTATTCTTCACATGGCCTTTGGTATTATAGGCTAACAGCCGGTCTTTCTTTCACATGTGGTTGGAATCTTAATAGAAGCTGTATGTCTTTGGTGTGTTGTTTTCAACTTAGGAGTTTTTGTTTGTTTATTTTTGCTTTGGGAGTAGGTAGTCTGTTTTGTTTTGTTTTTTAAAGACAGGATCTCATATAGTCCAGTCTGATCTCAAACTCCTGTTCCTCTTATTTCACCTCCCATATTCTGGGCTTACAGGCCTGTGCCACCACATATGACCTGTTTAATGGTGATTAAACATTTTAAACCTCTTGCTTACTGTTTTCTTCAGGAAAATTGTTTCATTAGAAGAATTGTTCCCTTGCTCCAATATTTTTGGACAGCCTCCTGACTTTCAAAAATATAATGTTTTTAGAGGGTGATTCTCCATCTTTTTTCTTGTATTTTTGAGCCACTGGAAGACCTTTCTGATGCTTTAACTAAGCAGCACAATGAAAAGCAGTCTCTTTCCTTGTTTTAATAATTTGATGTGTACTTGAAGATGTGAAGCTGTCTATCAATTTTTATTGCCCCCATTACAATATCTAGATATGAACATTAGGGAACATATCTTTGTATCCTTTCTATTTTCTTATGCACTGTGTTAGACAAAGTGCTCCAACCTATTTGTTTTATAGAGAACTCTTAAGTATGTGTTGCTTAATCCGACATACATTTTGTATTTACATGTGTGCCTTTACAGCTTGAACATAAAAAAAAAAAAAAAAAAAAAAAACCACCTTTATATTAGTGCTGGAATTTATTTTCAAACCAACTTAAAGTCTTAGAATTTAGTTTTCAGTTACCCTCCCCGCAACACCACATTTCTACTGACCTTGATAGTTTATAAAGATTATTTATATATCATCATGCACCTTATAATATTTATTTTGCTCTGCAGTAGACTGTAAATATGTGATGACAGTTATAGGGCGTGCTGTATAGGACGTGCATGTATATAGATATAGCAAGCTAATCCTTCTAAGTATGTAAGTATGCTGTCACAATGACAGCATTGCCTAAAGTATTTCTCAGAATATATTCCTGTCATTAAGCAGCACAGACTATCAATGCGTTATACCCACAGATCTTGTTCTTATTAAACAATAGAGCTAAGACCTGAAGAATCAACTTGCTAGTAACTGACAAGGTTGAAACTTTCACCTGGCTTTGACCTCTGTTACATTTGTGTTACATCTTGGTGTTTCTATTTTGTCTCACTTTTCTTTTTCTTTTTATTTATTTATTTATTTTAAAGATTTATTTATTTATTATGTATACAATGTTCTGCTTACATGTGTGCCTGCACTCCAGAAGAGGGTGCCAGATCTAATTCCAGATAGCTATGAGCCACCATGTGGTTGCTAGGACTTGAACTCAGGACCTCTGGAAGAATAGCCAGTGCTCTTAACCTCTGAGCCATCTCTCCAGCCACCTCTCTTTTCTTACTGTCAATAATTCAGCCAAATAGTCCCAAATACTCAGGCTGTTTATAGAAACCTTTTCATGTGCATTAGGGGAAACTCAGTCTCCTAGAACATTTTGTTTTTAGTAAACACAAACAAGCATTCACCTAAATAGATGCACACCTGTGTAGACAGCAGTTAGCATATTGAATTGTACTTTGTCTTTTTACTTGTTTGTCTCTTCAAATGAACTGTGTGCTTTTTGAGCATTCTTGGATTATTCTGTGAGTTTCTTGAAGTCCATTAAATGTGGATCCTGATACACAGGTGTCTAGTGTAAAATAAGTGATGAGTGAATAAATGAATTCAGAAGTGAGAGACAGTATGCCTTCTGGTAGCTTACAGTCTTCTTAGAAAAGTCAAGTTTGACGTTTACATTAAATACAAAGATAAACAAAAATTTGCTTTATTTTAAGAGAAACTTTGTTTATAGGGTTTGTTTTTTTTTAACTAATATAAAACAGATTCCCAGCCTGTAGTTCATGTAATTGCTTCCCGGCGTCAGGATTGGTCAGAACATGAGATTGCAATGGAGACTAGCCCCACCATAATATATCAGGATGTATCCAGTGAATCACAATCAGCTACATCAACAATCAAAGCTCTGTTAGAACTCCAACAGACAACAGGTATGAATTCACATGCTCAACTGAATGAAGCATGTTTTCTCTAGAGACGGGTTGTGCTAAACTACACCACTGTTGCATAGTTTTTGTACAGTTCTCCCCCTCTGGACTTGTCTATAATCATTGGTACAGTTTATTGTTCTTTAAGATGTATATAGGAGTATGAAGCATAGATGGAGAGTTGTCATTCGAAGACAGATCGAGTAGACAGGGCTGACTTCTATTTAAAATGGACAATCCTCTTGCCAGCAGAAGAGAGTGGGCTTGTTACTTGTAAGTACAGATTGAAGGGTCCCTGTTGTCCTCACTGATACTATCAGAGTAATTTTGCACAATAAAATGGAATAAGATTTGCCTTGTAAACATTCACATTTGTGGGCCAGGCGGTGGTCGCGCACGCCTTTAATCCCAGCACTTGGGAGGCAGAGGCAGGCAGATCTCTGTGAGTTTGAGGCTAGCCTGGGCTACAGAGTGAGTTCCAGGAAAAGCTCCAAAGCTACACAGAGAAACCCTGTCTCCAAAAAAGAAATTTTAAAAAAAATTCTCATTTGTTCTCACCTTATTTTTATACTTATTTATTTATTTATTTTTGTGTAGGTTATCCACTAGAGCATCTGTGTATAAAATTCTATCAGTGTTTCTAGTTACTAAATCTCTTTTATAGCTTCTAGGACAACCTTATGTAAGTTATACTGAGTTTTCTGCTATAATAGATCAACAGTTAGGGACTATTTTAGGGGTTGTAGTGATGATCTCATCTAACCCTTTCATGTTTTAGAGAAGCTAGCTGAGATTGAGAAAGGTTACCTACTTCGTCAGTGACAGGATGGTGGCCAGGGCCATCTTTGCTTGTGGGTTCACAGAGGGATTTGGCTTCTTTGTTTAAAATGATTGTTCTGCTTTGTCACATTCTGTACTTGGTGGGAGCAGTCTTTTAGTGGACTTAGTTACTGAATGCTATACTTTATACTTACATTTGGTATAAATTATAAATCTACTTCTATTATTTTTAGCCTTGGGCACTTTTTTCAGCTGCTTGTTTTTGACAGATTCAACCATTTCCATCAATCATTTATATAGACTGGAATGTTGAGTGAAGAGATTTTGTTGAGGAAGTGGTAAGATGGTAAAAAAAATGCATCTATACATATACCACTATTAATTACAGGCTGTTTTATCAGACATTTTAGACATACAGAACAGAGCACCTATTTTTTTTCCTAACAGTGAAAACCTTTAAGTTGTATTCTTTAAGAGTCATTAAAGACTTGTAACAACTTTTTGTGGTCATATCTTAAATTACACACACACACACACACACACACACACACACACACGGAAAGGGTCTTTGCTCTATAGCTCAGACTGGCCTGAATATAGCCCAGGTCAGCATTGAATTCAGCAATCCTCCTCCCTCAGTAAAGGCTATATGAATTTTCCCCTTGTGCTGGGGGTCAAACTCACAACCATTTGTATGCTGGACAAGCATCAACCTCTGGGTAACATTCCCAGACCCTTGGATTTTCAGTAGGTCAAATGAACTTATCAATGGGAAGTGCTATTTTGGGATATGCCCTAGAGCAGATCATGCTGTTGTGAACTGAGGATACCAGCAATTGGAGTGCAAAGGAAATGACATCCCAGGAGGAGTATATAAAGAAAAACGACTGGCTGTCTGTAGTAATAGGGAACTTGAGTATGATTAAATACGAATTATTATAGGCTTCTGGGTATGGTTATGCAGGTTGTAGGCTATGCAACTATACTGAGCAGTCTGCAGTTTTCAGTTCATTGTCTTGTTAGTCACTGCCAATGTGGCATCCCAGAGGTCTGGTTCATTATTCCCATAGACAACTCTGGTTTTAGTATTTGTTTATAATAAAAGTTAACTTTTCCCCGACTTTTTTATGCAGTAAAGGAAAAATTGGAATCTAAACCAAGACAACCCACTATTGACTTGAGTCAAATGGCAGTACCTATTCAGATGACCCAGGAAAAGAGACATTCTCCTGAGAGTCCATCCATTGCTGTGGTAGAGTCAGAACTAGTTGCTGAATACATCACTACTGGTAGGTGTCCTCTTAAAACTTAGTATTAAGGTAGTGCTGCCTTGGTGGATTTCATGGGATGCTCATTTGGGGGGAGAACATATCTTTATATTTTAGCTCTTTTCCTGTTTGTTTTCAGAGCAGATTGACATCATCTTTGGGGTTTCCTTGACCTTAATCTCAATCTCTCTCTCTTCTCTCTCCCACCCCAGCGTGTCTCTCTCTCTCTCTCTCTCTCTCTCTCTCTCTCTCTCTCTCTCACACACACACACACACACACACACACACACACACACACACACACACACACACACAGCAGATTAGATATTTAACTATGGTCCAGCAACAGAATACTTATGAGATTTTGGGGATGGTACCTATGGAGAAGCGAAATGCTTTGTCTTACACTCAGGTGAGGCCACACCTGGAATACTGCTTTCTGTTGTGGATATTTCATTAGCTTGAGATCTGTCAGATGTGAATAATCTAGGGGTGAGGAGAGTAGAGGCAAGCTCCTGGCATGTGTTTGTATAAGCAGTGATTAAAGGAGAATGTCAAGTTTCAGGTATTTGAAGGTTCCAGAACCATAGAGAAAAGGGAGTTCTTTAGCATTATTGAGGAGATACTAGGAATGATGGTTAAAACTGCCCAGAAAGAAAATCCAGTGAAGATAACAGAAAGCTGTCAACTTCACAGACACTTAGCAGAAAGCCAGTTGGTGCAGAGGCTGGTATGCTTGGGAACTGAATGTTAGCCTCTCCAGTAGCCTAGACTAGCAAGTAGTAAATAGATGAAAGACCTGTGATTTCTTCCCTTACTTATCCTTTTCAGAACGCACTGATGAGGGGACAGAGGTTGCTTTTCCCCTTCTAGGTAAGTGGTGTGCATCCATTTGTAGTATAATGAAAGGTAGATGATGATTAATTTGGGGAACTACTTAAAATGGATGCGCTCTGCTCTGCTCTGGTAGAGGGAAGGTAAGCTCCACTAAGGGAAGGAAATGTTATCTGCAAAGTAATGGGAAAATGAGCACTTTGGTGGGGAACAAAAGAAGAATGTTTAAAGAAATGAATGACTGTTAATGGGGCTCCTGCGGGCCAGCCAAGGTTGTGTCATCTGTTTCACAAATGTTCTTTCTGTGACCTCCTTTATCAAGCATTTGCTTTGACTTGAAAGCCAGCTGCTCTAGGCCCTGTTCTAGTCTGTGGTGGGTGTTAGTTTTCTTGGGTTTCACTGAACTTTAGTAACCTACACTTGTGGCATTTGGGATGAAAAAACTTATAGGCTCTTGAAGGAGAATTATTTTTACATAGTGTTATTTGATCTTTTGTTAAGTCCAATTTGTTTCTTTAATTTAAAATGTCTTACTGTTGGGGCTGGAGAAATGGCTCAGCAGTTAAGGGTGGATGCTGCTTTTCCAGAGGACCTGAGTTTGGTTCCCTGTACCCATACTGGGTGGTTCACAATCACCTGTCACTCAAGCTCCAGGTTATCAAATACCTTCCTTTAGCCCCTATAGGCACCTAGATATATGTGATGTGCACATACACACATACACCCAAATAAATGAATTAAATGAATAAATAAATCTAAGAAAAACTTACTGTAATAATTATGAAAACTAGTATGGGTGTCAAAATTGTCTATTTAATCTGACAATTTCATCAGAAATTTATTATTATCTTTCAGATGTCATTCATTTTTGATAATGCTTTCATTTAAAATTTTCATTGATTTACTTTCTTGAGTTTAATGTCATAATTTATTTTTCTCCCATTTATTCCTGTTGTAAATGATTTCAGTAGTTGTTTAAATGTAAATCCTGGGTCTTTATAGGGTCTTTATATTAAGTCATATAATTTAAAATATACATAAAGCATACTGTGAAATGCAGTGAAGTAGTAGAGTGCAGTATAAAAGGAGTCCAGGTGATCCTGTCTGTAATCTCATGGTACATAGAGCTATATTTATAGTTAGAGAAGCGCTGCATTTGTGAATGTATACAGAAAAGAGCCTTGTAATCATAGTTGTAGCTGGAGTTTAGTCCTTAAACCACCACACAGATACTTTGATCTGTAGGTGGAGCTCACTCTTGAGCATTCAGCTGTTTCTCAGTATGGAGCAGGGATAAGCTACATAACCTTACAGTTATGGCTTATTGGAGGAGTTTTCATACTCTCAAAACCCTTAGCTCATTTACAGATTTGTTTTTTACCTATTCTTGATAAAAGGGTTTCCTTCCCAGTAGCTAAAGGCATTTGGGTGTTGTATGGGTTTGGATGTGGCAAGTTGTCTATAGTGTTAAAACTTGAAGTTGAGGCTGGTAGGGGACTAGAGATGGCTCAGTGGTTAAGGGCACTGACTGCTCTACCAGAGGACCCGGGTTCAATTCCCAGTACCCACATGGCAGCTCACAACTCTCTGAAACTCCAGATCCTAGAGACTGAACACCCATGGCAAAACACCAGTGCATATAAAATAAAAATAAATAAATAAATAAATAAATAAATAAAAGAAGAAATTGAGGCTGGTAAATGATGATACAGATTGGTACCTATGTGGATGGGTAGTTTGAATGAGCTCTGTGACGAGAGAGGAGGAAATGGGGTTGGTTCCTACAACTTCACTCTTGCTGGTCTATTTGAGCTAAAACTGGTGTGGCAGAACAACCTGTTTTTCCAGTTAACCCTTTATTTATTTAAGGGCTGCTTTCAATCCATTTTTTCATTTGTCTCTTGTAAGAAAAAACAGCAAGATTTTATTATCCCATTCAAACACAGGCAGAGTCAGGCTCTGAGTTTTGGTGCTTTAATAGAAAACAAGTGGCTTCAAAGTTCACAGGAGTGGTTGGAATAGAGTAGGACAGGATTCCTTGTGCAGCATCATTTTGTCCTCTGACATTGTCAGGAACTATAAAGCTATGAAACAGTCTCTCTTCATATAAAGGAGCAATGCCACTGTTTGGATTGCATTCTTTTCCCACTTTCCTTAATGATGTGTCTGGAGTTGTGGAAATGTGACCTCAGTGGGCTAAGAGTCATTGGAGAAAACCCAACAGTTCACAAGAGGGTGCCACTTGAAAGGCACGTTTTCACAGTGCCTCTCTACACATTCCCTGTCGTACAGTAGCTCTGTTGTTGCCATTTTGCAGATGAGGAAACAGTTTCATAAGAGGCTCTTAGGGTCGCCCAGTTCCTAGACGGGCGGGTTCTGGTCTTCTGCCTTTTAGTTTGCAGTACCACCCTGTGGGATACAAGCTCATACTCATGTTTAAAATGATCACTGCTTGTAGTTGCTGTGGTGATTTCTGGAGAAACATCACCACCTCCTCTGTTTTCAGTCAGCCATCGCTCCCAGCCCCAACAGCCTTCCCAGCCCCAGCGGACCCTGCTCCAACATGTGGCTCAGTCACAGACTGCAACACAGACTTCAGTGGTGGTAAAGTCCATCCCAGCGTCTTCCCCCGGAGTAATCACCCACATTATGCAACAGGTTGTATCTCTTCTTTTTCTTACCTTCTGTAACCACTTTATTCCTGAAATCAGGTTCAATTTTATTTTCTATTTGAAAAAGGAGACATACCTGAATTGTAGAATGTATGATGTATGTGTAACTCATCCATCTGTGAGGAATGAATAGTCTAAACTGAGGGTCTAAACACCAGGAAATAATTAGAAGGCAGTTTTTTTTTGTTTTTTTTTTGTTTTTGACATTCTAAAGACATAGCTTTTCAGGAGGGTTGGGCTGTCTAGGTGAGTCTCCTAACATTAGAACTGATCACTGTTCCCGTGTCTCTTATTATTACAGATGGATTTACTAATGGTATTAGTAAGATTTTTCAAAACAAAATAGCATTTGGCTTGTTTAGCTGTTTGATGCTGTTTGTTTTTGCCTTTTATACTTTATAATGAATCTTTACAAGACCATTATGAACAAGAAAGGAAATATTTTACTCCTTTAGTTATATATGACCAATAAAAGAAGACTCAACAGGAAAGAAATGAACTCATAGCAGATAAAAACCCCTGGTATTAAGGCTAGTGAGGAAAAAGAAAGCTATGTCGTTCAGTTGATTTTTATGTGGCACCATGCTTTGAACTGTAAGTACGCCTCACTGCCATTCTGAAAGATGGGTGTATCATCGTACCTCTTACTAGCCAAAGTCATGTAACTTGCTCCAGGTGGCAGAACCATGATTTAAACCCATAGTGACATTTATGCCACATAGCTTCATTGTGGTTATCAGGTTCAACCATGTCTCTCCTTAGTATTCTCTTCAATCCTTGTCACTTGGCTGCCAGCAGTTCAACCTGACTGTATGTGGCCTACTGAAAGACAGTAAAGAGGTGTTGAATCAGAACTGTGTGTGTATCAAGTCTTGATCCAAGGGCAGGTTCCAATTTTGAAGTTAGTAGTGGCATAGTGGTATAGGAGCAGGAGAGTTAGGGATAAGGTGGATTTTGTTGTGTCCTGAAGGAAAGCAACTTGTCTCAGATTTCAGTGGGTAGCAGATCTTAGTCTGTTCTTCACTGGTAGGTCCTGACATTGATCTTTCTTAAGACACACAAAGGTGTGTCTTAACAGTGTCATGCGGAATGATTTCTCCCCCAGTGCTATCTTAGCTGACCGTAGGCAGTCAGTCTCTTTTCCCATGAAGAGGAATGACTTGTCCCCTGACTCACTCCCTTCCAGGAAATAGGTCTCTAGGAAGCTGTGGTCTAGTGAGTCTGGACTCTGAGACTCACAAACCTTGGTGGCACATCCTCTCCTCAGAGAGGCCTGCTGTGGGGATCGGGGTGGACACATCTAGATAGTACAGCTGACCTTTGGGACCACGCATGCATGTGACCAAAGCGGGCTTTCCCGCGCCTTCGTTTTTCTCTGGATGCCTCTCTCCTCGGTTGCTGCCTTCTGTCTTTAGACAGGTGAGCGTCCCTCACGCACAGTTGCAGCATGGCTCCTGAGCTGGGGAGCTCCTCTAAAAGTATTGTAATGAATCTCTAATATTTTCCAGTTCAGGAAAAATGTGACTCTGTATGTGTTTTTTTCTTATTTCATTCTTACTTTGTGTCTCTTTTACTTAGGCATTAAGCAGTCATACTGCTTTTACCAAACACAGTGAGGAACTTGGAACTGAGGAAGGTGAGGTTGAAGAGATGGACACATTGGATCCTCAGACAGGTCTGTTTTACCGGTCTGCCCTGACTCAGTCACAGTCAACTAAGCAGCAGAAACTTAGCCAGCCCCAGCTGGAACAGACTCAGCTGCAAGTGAAAACTCTGCAGTGCTTTCAGACCAAACAGAAGCAGACCATCCACTTGCAGGCAGACCAACTCCAGCACAAACTCACGCAGATGCCCCAGCTCTCCATCAGGCATCAGAAACTGACTCCTCTCCAGCAGGAACAAGCACAGCCCAAGCCAGATGCACAGCACACACAGCATCCCGTGGTGGCCAAAGACAGGCAGCTTCCTACCTTAATGGCACAGCCCCCACAAACTGTGGTACAGGTGCTTGCTGTGAAAACCACGCAGCAGCTTCCTAAACTGCAGCAAGCTCCAAATCAACCAAAAATCTACGTGCAACCCCAAACTCCCCAGAGCCAAATGGCTCTCCCCACTTCATCAGAGAAACAGCCGGCAAGCCAGGTAACAGAAATTTGATAGCTTGCAAAGTTACTTCTCTGTTCACGGGGGCTGGGGGTAGGTGAGGTTTTTTTAAGGTTGTCATCAGAGCCAGCAGTGCTTTCTCCAAACAAGGGGAACCCAAAATCCTCATAATGCTGGTGTTGGTATTAGGGGGAAAGCCCACCTACTGATAGAGAGGAAAACACAACTCTCAGAGTGTGCTTTCCTAGGCAGTTTCTGAAGAAATCACTTCAGCAGTAATCAGCAGTGCATGGAAATGATAGCTCCATACCTCCATGCTTATAAATGCTTACTTTTGTGGCAATAATGCTAAGTGAACTGCAGTCTTTTAAGGAACGTAATTGACCATCTGTCTTCCTTTCTGGTTTATATCATTACCATCTAGATGTTGAATTTACCCTCTAGATTTATCATCTAGATAACAGAGGAAATAGATAACAGAGGATAATCAAAAGAAAATTTTCATTAGCACTAATTGATGGGACTGATGTGTGTGTGTATGTGTGTATACATATATATACATATATATACATATATAGAATATGTTTGTACAATTGTACTTCGAAGGAAAAGATTGAAAAAATTCAACTCACTTTTAATTTTAAAAGCAGATTATATGAAATCATTTGACCGGGTTGAAGGTATCTCGGGATGTAAATCTCAGGAAAACTGGGCTGCTGTGATTTTTTTTTTTTCCTTTACTGCCTCAAAGCTTGGCTGGCTGAACAAAGGTTCTTTCAACCCCTCCTCTTTCCCTAGGTTCCTTAAAAGAAAACAGATCCTTCCCATCCAGCCCTCTTACTAAACATCGAGCTTCAAAATGTCTTCCTAGTATACCGCACGAATGTTTCTTTTACCATATTTTCTGGAGTGTTTGATTAGTTTTTCCTCAAAGAGATGTAGCTATAATACACACAACCCCAATTTGTTTTCAGGTGGAGCAGCCAATTATAACCCAAGGATCCTCTGTTACAAAGATAACATTTGAGGGGCGCCAGCCTCCCACAGTTACAAAGATAACTGGTGGCAGTTCTGTTCCTAAGCTGACGTCACCAGTTACAAGCATATCTCCCATTCAGGCCTCTGAGAAGACAGCAGTGTCAGACATTTTGCAGATGTCTTTGATGGAAGCTCAGATTGATACAAATGTAGAACATATGGTAGTGGATCCCCCAAAGAAGGCTCTAGCCACCAGTGTGCTCACCGGTGAGGCAGGAGCTTTACCCTCCACCCACGTGGTGGTGGCAGGGATGGCGAAATGTAGAGAGTCCTGTTCAAGTCCATCTGCTGTTGGCCCTCCCCTAACGACCAGAAAGATCGAAGCAACAGGAGTGCCTGCGGCAGGCCAGTTCATGCGCATTCAGAATGTAGGCCAAAAGAAAGCTGAAGAGAGCCCAGCAGAGATTATCATCCAGGTAAGACCCGGAAGGAAGATGAGACGTCTTGGGTAGGTGGGAGGTTGTGGGTTTGATACATTTTGGGGTGTCACAGGACTAGTCACTCCAATGTGGTAACAAAATGCAGAGATTATTTTTGAGTTGGTTTAGAAACTATTACAGTATACAAATTTATATTTAGTTTTGTTGTTGTTGTTATTTGTTTTGAAAATAATCATAGAAACTTGGTATATGTGGTCAAACAGCATACTGTGTGACCATGAGGACTGTGCCTGTGTATTAGCTTGATTTGATGTCCACATCATACTTGCAATGTGTTGACTTAGTTCACTCAAAAGGCCAGTCATTTCCTAGGCTCACATTTTGGGCTGCTTGATCTGACAAACTGGAATATAACTGTTTGTACTTCTGTTCAGCTGAATTTCAGGGACACTTTGTAAACATTTCTTGTTCCTCATCTGAATTTGTGGTTCCTAGAATAATCCACTTGAGCTGACCGGAATGTCTGCAGAAACACATTCCCCGTGTGTATTTCTGACTACTTTTACATCTAACTTGGCATTAACCATAAGCTTGTTTCAGCTTCTTGTGTCAGTTGTTATTTGATCATCTTGTTAAGGTGTTGTCACCACAGTGGACAGTTCACTGGCAGGCTACCGGCTCCGTTCATCCTCTCTGTTCTAAAAACCATCAGTTATTCTGTGTTACAGGTTAAGATTGATGACTAAAACTAGGCCAGACTAGAGCCCTTAGGAGTTGTGTTTGATTTCCATCTCTCAATGCAAGATATTAAGGTTTTTCCCTTGATATTGGCAGTTTTTATTTCCTCCAAACTGGTACATAGTTTACCAAGCATCAGAGCAGCCCATTTTAGTTCTTTGAGAATTCCCATTTATAGACCTATGGATAATTTAGAATTGGCACAGAGCCACTGTTGTGTGCTTCAAAGTTCATACAATAAGCTTTTCATTTGTAATGATGTTAAGCTATGAGAGAATACTAATTAACCATTGTTAAACCAAATGAGACATAATTAAATACTTGATAATTAAGATGAATCAAAGTAGCCATTAAATTATTCAAATATTTTTCCATCTGTAACAATGAATTTAGTGAATTACATATTTCTTAACAAAAGGTTTTGTTGGGATTGCTGGTTTTTTACCTGAAGAGATAGGCTGTTTTGGGAAAGGGATGGGTTTCTGGTTTTGCCATTTACTACTTTGGGCTGGACTGCTCAGGTGACTCTTGTCTCAGTTTCCTTATTGGTAGTGGGAATAAATAATGCCTGGTTTGTAGACTCTGTGTAAGGGTTAATAAAATTAAGCATCTAGCACAGTGACTGCCTCAGGGTTTGTCCAACAGATGATAACTGCTACTGATTTACTAAAATGGATTGGGACAATTGGGGGCTTAGATTGTGTACTTATCTGGGTGGTTTAGTTGAAAATTATTTTTCTGCGTTGTATTAGCAGGAATGAAAATGCAGTTCATTCATGTCCAGGATTAGGAGCAGAGGTGTGATATAACTGATATTCCTTGTTAAAAGGTATCTATAGCCAGGCATGGTAATGCATGCTTGCAATCTCCACACTTGGGAGGTAGAGGCAGGAGGATCAGAAGTTTAAGGTCATTTCAGCTACATAATCTGTTCAAGGCCAGCTTGGGATACCCTCCCCAAACCCCCCAAAAAAAGTTAGGAAGAAAAAAGAATCTGGTAGGACCATAAATCACCAATAAGTACTTAGCAAGGGGCCCTGCCAGTGTTCACCTAGACATTTTTTTTAGCTGTTTAAATGGCAGATTTTTGGCATTCTCATATATTTGAATACCTTTACTACTTAACTGCAGTAAAGGTGTTTGTGCTATGACTAAACAAATTGGTTTCCTCTTTGAACCACCAAAGAGGCTTAAAATGTATTGTGTGTCAGCAACCAGTCATTCATCTTGAAGATGAAGAACAAAAGTATTGTATAATTCAGGCTCTGTGTGATGGAGCATGCTTTTATTCCCAGAACTTAGAGGGAGAGGCAGGTGGATCTCTGTGAATTTGAGGCCAGCCTTAGGTATATAGTGGTTTTAAGCCAGCCAGGACTTCATAGTAAGATCCTGTCTCAGAAAAGAAAACAAAACTGGTAAAATTCAGGTAAGATGAAAGCATTCTTTAAAGCCTGCCTTGGAAATTGGCAGGGGCCATTAGCCTTCTTTGTTGAAGAGGTCCCATACAGGAGTACAAAGACCACTTTGAGTTGTACGGAAGTTGAGGTTGAATCCAGCATTGACCTTGACAGCTGTGTGACCTTGCGGATATCTCTCACCTCACATTTGCTCACTTGTAACAAGAGAGTGATAGTTTCCATGCAACATTGCCACGGGATGCAGTAGACTGCCATGTGGGAGATCTAGTGCAGTGCTTGTTTGGAGGTTGTCTGGTCCATGCCAACTTTGTTTTCTATGCTTAGTTCGGGGGCATTCTCACGTGTCCTTTTTTCACTATAAACATACTCTGCCGCATCTTCTCTTCCAGGCCATTCCCCAGTACGCTATTCCTTGTCACTCCAGCTCCAACGTGGTAGTGGAGCCCAGTGGGCTTCTTGAACTGAACAACTTCACCAGTCAGCAGCTGGATGACGACGAGACAGCAATGGAGCAGGATGTAGACAGTAGCACGGAGGATGGAACTGAGCCCAGCCCCTCTCAGAGCTCTGCTGAACGGTCCTAGTATTCAGACACCAGAGTGCACTTTAAAGCCTGCTTGGTTACCAAGTGTCCAGGGAAACCTATGATTTGTTGTCTAAAAAAAGCACTTTGCTCATATTTAGGCTATGGACCTAGAAACACGGTGTTTCAATGAGATGTTGCTGCAGGAGCAGCATTTTAACAAGATAAAACTCACAGAGGAATGTACTTAAAAAAATGGAGAGGAAAACAAAGAAAGAAAGCAAGAAAGCATGCAGAGGAAAAGATGCACACCCGTGGAGACCTGGCACCTTGCTGGAGCTGGGCAGTGCCAAGTTTGGCAGTGGAAAGAGACTTTCCTATGAGTGGTTCTCAGCTGCTTTTCACTGCGCAAATGCCACCAGAGAATATTAAAAGGAAAAGAAAGGAGAATGTGAAGAGTTTGTATTTTTGAAATGATGTATCTGAACATTTTTTAAAATCGTGTTTGTTTTTGCATATCCCTGGAAGTGTTGCTTTGGTTAACATTTTACATTTGCTCAGTTCATGGTTAGTTTATGAATACCTAGGAAAGTTCTGGCATTAGAGAGTCCTTGCTGGAGGGTAAACATTAGATCACTAACCAGGAAGTGTTTGGGGTAGCTTGTATATGCTCTGTGGTTGTATACTAATTTATTGTGGTGTTCCACACTTGCTTATTTATTTAATGTAAATGTTTCCAAGCAGGCTGAATCCCTTTTCCTACATGTCCTAGGAAGCTGGATGGCCTGGCCTTCCCACCTTCCCTCCCCCCCTTTAAGAAGCTGGATTAGAGAAGGTTTGGTGGGAAGCAGAAGAAAAGACCTTTCTAGCCCAAAGGAAATGTTGAGTTGTGTTAAGGAAAATGAACTCTGTTCACTGATGCTCTCCTGATACCGAAGTTGCACACCTATGTGGGACTGATAAGACTCTGAGAATAACTTCTACTACTTTTCTTTAAGCCCCTTTGAAATGTATGAAAAAGTTCACTTACAGTTCTAAATGTAATGTTTTTAAGTTTTTACTTTTTTAGGGAGCAGTTGTTTACGTGCTGTTTTGGTCTTGTGATTGCTGTCTATCACAAGTTGAGTGAAGGGTAAGGGATGGGAGGGTACGAATTTTGACAAGCTGTGGCAGAAGAAACTATACTTTTCATTTTTAAAAAGTGTAAATAGAAAAATTTTTAACGGTTTTATATGAATTTCACTATAAATAAGCATTTTAAGACTGACAAATGTTGAACTGTATATACATTTATCAGCATAACTGCCCAATTTTTTGGTGCTGAAGTACTGTAAGTAGAATTTATCACCCGCCTCCTAATTTTTGCGTCTACACCTGGGAAGAAGAAGCTGTGATGCATCGTTAATAAACTCACACTAGAGTGACACTGAACGTCTCAGCAGGAGCATCCCTGAGACAAGCTTGCTCTTGGTTGGTGGTTGTACTCATTTCTACTAGGTGATAATTACTCACCAATAGATGGAGCTGTTGGATAGCATTTTATTGTACAGATTTATTTCAACCACTTTGTGACTGTTCCTAGCTAAGAAATAATTTAACCTCTCTTGGGTCATAGATGTCTACCAGAATTTGACTAAACTATGAACTCAATCACCAAAAATATACACATGCCAGTACACATGTTAGATTTTGCATACAATATTAGGGGCTTGTGGGCTCCCAAGAGCATCTGTGTATTCCAGGGTAAGCCCTGTTATGGTCAATCTATTACTTGCAGGTGTAAGTTTTTATAAAATAAAATATCTTTTGAATACACATGGATCAGGAAACAAGAACAAACTTGAGTAAGTTATGTTTCATATCTTCTATCAGGATAGCATACCCATGTCCCTCTCAGAATTTAGCCTTACTGTGTTCCAGCAGCTGAAATGCCAAATGAGTCTTATTTAATCTACATTTCAAAAGTTACATGCACCCACACATAATATACACGCATGAATTATCAAGTAAGATTGATTTTTTTTCCTTTTAACAGTTCTAATTCTAATTAGAGCATGAATTTCTGAGCAGATATTATTCATTCCTTTTTTATGTGCCAGGTCCATAAAGAATAATGTAACCACCAAGGATAGATATTACAGTGAGCAAATGGCAAATCCTACCCATCTGGAACTCACAGACAGGGCTTCCTGCTTGGGAAGGAAGCAGGGAGCTCCAATGATTCTGGAGTTCTTTCTCTTTTTTTAGTGGGCACATATTCAGTGTGTGTAATTGTTGTTTTGTCTTGTGTATGTGGAGGGCAGAGATTAACCTTAAGGTTGTTGCTCAGAAGCCATCTTCCTAGTTCCTGGTTCTTTTTTTTTTTTTTTTTAGGAGCTGAAGGACACAGCTTGTGGGAGTTGGCTCTCCCACCATCCTACCATCTTGGTCCTGGGAATCTGACTTAGGTAGTCAGGCCTGGCAGCAGATGACTTTACCCACTGAGACATCTGGTCCCCACCTTATTCTTTGAAACAAAGATCTAGAGCTTGCTGACTAGTCTAGACTGGCTGCCTGTCTCCACTTCCCCAGTGCTGGGGTTATAAGCACAAGTCATGGCCTGGCTCTTCCTGTGAGTGCCAGTTTTCATGTTTATGTGGCAAGCACTTTATTGACCTATCTCCTCAGCCCCAGCATGTCAGCATATATATCATGGTCTTTGACCATATTCCTCAGGTCTCCACCCCCTCCCCTTTATTTGACATATGTGAGTGTTTTGCCTGTATGTGTGGTGCACCATGTACATGCAGTACCCATGGATCCCCTGGGACTGGAGTTACAGACAGTTGTATGCCACCACGAGTGCTGGAAAGTGAACCCAGGCTCTCTTAGAATAACAACCATGGCTCTAGATGGTTCTTAACCACTGAGCCATCACTTCAGCCACTTTTCTCTAAGTTTCTTAAGTGGAATGATGATAACATGTATGGATCCATCACCAGACATGCTTTTGCTGAAATTGATAGCATTATTTGTTTCATGTTTAAGTCCGTAAATTAAAAGTAATTGTAAGCTGTCTCTGAAGGATATTTAGAGATAATGATGCATTTCTACAAAACCATTAGAAATCTAATTTGGTTTTGAGTTGGAGATGTAGCTCAATTAGTAGAGTGCTTGCCTAGAATGCACAGAACCCTGAGTGCAATCCTTAGTACCGCAGAAAAACTAGGCATGGTGGTGGATACCTATAATACCAGTACTTGGGAGGTAGAGGCAGGAAAATGAGAAATCACAGTTACTCTCTGCTACATAATATGTTTGAGGGCAAACTTCTTAATTTCAAAAGATTTGGTTTAAAGTAAACTTTTAAAAAGTACCTATTGTTACAGGTGTAACTTGTGAATTTAGAAGACTTTATAGTTTTCATTTTTATTTATTATTTTTGAGATGAGTCTCACTATGTAGCTCTGACTGACCTGGAAGTCACTATGTAGACCATACTGGTCTTGAACTCAAAGAGACCCAGTTTTATTGAGTATTCATGCCATATACTTAAACATGTAATGTGTGTGGCTTAATGGTTTCTAGGATTTTTCAGATAGAACACCCATTACCAAAATCAGTTTTAGAACAGTTTCATCAGTCAACAAAAGTACCCCAAACAGCATCACCAGTTACCTCTCCAGCCCTGGAGGGCTGCTCATCTTTCTGTCCTTATGGACTTCTTGCCCTGGATACCTCATATGAATAGAATACAGTTAATGGTCTTTTGTGATGTCTTTCATGTGGTATCATAGCTCAAGACTTTTCCATATTGCAACAAGCATGTATCAGTGCTTCTTTGTTTATGGCTATTCCAGTACATGGATGTGTCACACTGTAAAAATGATCAGCTGATGGGCATATGCGTTGTTTTACTTTGTGACTACTATGAGCAGTGTTGCTGTAAATGCCTATGCACAAATTATCTTTAAGGTTCAATTCTCTTGAGTAACTACCTTTGGTCTTTTAAGAAACTGGCAAGATTGTTTGCCACAGAGACCAGGTGTTTTTGCATTCACTCTACCTGTGCATGAGGGCTTCTTGCCAACACTTGCTATTGGCTCTTTTAATGTAGCCAGCCTAGTATCTACAGTGCTACCTCCTTGTGGTTGTGACTTTCATTTCCCTTACAGCTAATGATGAACACTTTTCATGTGTGTCTTAGTCATTGGTTTATCTCTGGAGAAGTATCTCTTTGGTCCCTTTGCTTCTTTTCAGTGGTATTAACTACAATTGAGAATTTGTGATGTATAAGAAGCATTACTACTATTAGGAGGATAGTAATTCTTCACCATTAAAATCTTTTGAGTCAGCTCTAGTTCTTCCTCTCTGATGTAGCATTACTTAACATTTTTAAACTGTGTCTTAGAATTGAAAGCTTGTTCTTTGAATGCATTGCTTTCTAAGGCTCCCACAATAGGCTGCTTGGGCAGAGGGTGGCAAGAGACGGTACAAAGGAATAGTGCCTGGATTTGAGTCCCTGGCGGCTCCTTTGGTTATTGCTTATGTGAACTTGAGTCCATTGCATTCTCTCTGCACTTCCCATAACATAAAGTCTAACCTTGGGACTCTAAAGGCTGGACAAACAGTAATGTAAAAATGCCAGGCAAGGAGTCAGGTATTGGGTGTGTTTTGAGTAGTCACACCATTCCATTTTATACACAGATAACAAGGGCTTGAGAAGTTAAAGGAAAGAGAGTTCACAGACACTGCAAATGGAATTGCTCTGCGGCATGCCTTACTGCTTTCTCTTGCTTTCCTCTTGCATGTTTGTGCCGTGCAAGAGGACTGGCCTCTGGCAGGGCAGAGGAACTTGGCTGTGTAACGTTCATGATTCTTAGGCAGCTTCTCACAGAGCTCCTTGATTCAGGTTGGTTTTTTGTTTGTTTCTGTTTTAGTGTTTCACAGATCTGTAAGAGGAAGTATGTGGAAGGACTTTTCCAGAAAGGCTAGTCAGAAGTTGGCTGCCTCTGCGCTGGGGGTTTGCAAGCTTCTGAATTAACCCGTGTACTAGACCAAGAAAAGAAACGGGCACATATTTGGACTTGTGAGAAGGCTCGCTCTGCCTTCTATGCTTGCAAGTCGAGGGTTTTTCTGTAAGGCAGGTGAGTCTGGGCTTGAGGCCCAGTATACTACTTGAATGTAAGTTCCAAAAGGCTGAAGACAGCAGAGGTTGGAGTTCTTGCCCTGCATTACCTGATTGTTTCAAGAAGACTTCTGCTACCTATGCAAATCCACACCCAACCACCATGGTTCTTTGTAGGGTCCTCCTCTTCTTTTTCTTCCATGCGTCTTTGGAGTACATATGCAGAGGCTGAACTTGGAAACAGCAGTTGAGGGTGGAGGTGTCCCATCCTGGGGAAGTTTTAAGCTAGTAAGGATGTGTTTGAATCAAAGCACTACAACTAGCAGTAAATAGTAAGAATGATGGTGGAAATACTGAGTGTTTAGGAAGGCTGTAAACGGGGCTGCTCCAGAAAGGGTCCCTCAGAGAAGTGTGAGCTATAGTCTAAAGGAAAAACGAGAGTTTAGGTAAAGAGGAGGAGGCAAGCTAGCTGTCCAGGGACAGCCCAACTCAAAGACAGGGTGATGGGAGCAGAGAGTGGAGTTACAGCAAAGGGGGTGTGTGTGTGTGTGTGTGTGTGTGTGTGTGTGTGTGTGTGTGTGTGTGTGAATGGGAAGTCAAAAGACTCCTAAGCTACCAGAGCTGGCAGGCATAGAGAACTAATTTGGTCACAATATTTAGTTGTATTGGTGCATAAGAACAAAACTGCATTTCCTGATGTCACTCTCAGTTCCTTGCATCATTTTAAAAACCTCTTCAGTGGTTCCCTAAAATAGTCTTCATTCCTCACTCATTTTTGGGTGTACATATTAAGGATTTTTATTAACTTTTAAAATGACATTTATTTGGAAGGAGGGGGGGGTGCATGTGCCATGGTGCACCTGTAGAGGTCAGAGGACAACTTAAAAAGACTCTTTCCCTTTCACCGTGTGAGACCCATGGATTGAACTCACGTAAGGCATGGAGAGTTTACCCACATTCTTCTAGGATATTTAGATGTTTCCATTGTGACTACTGTGGGAATTATAGTGAGTGTTCTAAATATATAGCAATCCAGTTTGAATCAATACCAACTTAACTTCAAAACTCATGTTCCTGTATAGCTTCTCTCTCTTCATGTTATCACAAAGTATATTTTTATGTACCCAATAACAGATTTATAATCATTTTTATACATTTGTCTTTTAAGTCATGTAAATCAATGTCTTTTAAACCTTCTAGGTTTCTCTGGGTGGTGGTGTTTGTTCGTTCTGGAAACAGGGTCTCTGTGTGTAGTTCTGGCTGGCCTGGGACTCACTGTGTAGACCAGGTTGGCCTCAAACTCACAGAGATCTACCTGCCTCTGCTGGGATAAAAGGCATGCACACCGAGCCCAGGTTTTTG